CAGTGAAAATCATTAATAAGCAATTGTTCGATGGGCTGAATTGCACAAAACGCATGATCGCACCGGTTAATCTGGTGCGCGTTGATATTTATTTTTTTGCATCAACGCAAATGCAGGAAGCTCTGTTGAAGTTATGTGTCTGTGCTTACCGTTCACCTTCAAATGCAGATTCGCCTTCGCGAAAATCGCAGGAATAACGCGTGATCGAATCAATTCCTCTAAGTGCGTACAGATACTCGACCATACTATTTTTATAATCGTGAAAATAAGTTGTACTCGCATCCGCGAGAATCACAACTCCTCCATACACGGAATTTTTGTTTCTTTTTCATGTTATGCCAGTACATCAGTTTCCGCATAAAATAAATACATTGTGTACAGCTGTGAAAAATACAAATATTAAGAACTGTAATCCCACAAAATTCAAAACTTCATCAGCATATTCCAGTGCAAATAAAACAAAGAAATCGTGGCTGTCTTGGACTACCTAAAACTTAATAAACCTTCGATAAATTAAAGCAGACAAGACTTCTTTCGAAAATTCTAACAAAAATAAGGAAAACGATTTTTGTCAGAATTATTGGAAAACTTGAAACACGCGCAAAACCGAAACAGCGAAAAATTAAAGCAAATGAAAAAAGAACTAAATACTGCATGGGGTACAAAATGGTACCACAGAAACGGCTGTGACAGATTCAATACAAACTTACGATAAGCTAACAATGTTCAATAAATACAGACGCACACAGAAACGCTGGAGCGAGAATGCAGTTTTGTGGCAGACAATTTTGACTTCCTCCTCAGGAAATGAAAGGGACGTCAAGATCACAAGAAGGGTGACTGACCAGGGTGACTGAACACTGGGCGGTATATTAACGGTTAAAACAATCATGAAATGAGGGAAGAAAATGGTATGATTGTCGGCTACTACAAAGGACAATGTTCTGAATCAGTAGCCGTTTCAATTATAAAGCAAAAAAAGCGGATGTAATAAGCGTAAAGATGTTTAGGCACCCATAAGAATGTGTGTACGGCGCATTCCGTTTATGGATCGAGGGTTCGATTCCAGTGGTAACACAGTTAAACTTATTACTGTTATTCTTTTGGTGACAGATTGGTACTGAAGCATGTCAAAGAGTTTAAATCACAATCAGTTTAAAATCCTTGGAAAATGAAGCCATCGACAGCTTTACCAGCGAGTGGTCGCTGTTGGTGTGTGCCTCCACCACCTTTTAAAAGAGATCGAATGCGGAGGGGCTTTTAACTTTCTTAAAACAGTACAAAAGATATTCTGCTATTAAAGGATGAAAAAAAAAACCGTCAGACATCATCTATCTTGGCTCCCTAGGATCACCAATGATCCAGTGTAATGGTCCATGTGTTACACAACACAACAGATTATTGCAAAAAAAAAAAAATCACAAGTCAATAGAAGCTCTATCGATTCATGTTAGTTTTTTCACTATCCAATTTTGCGATTGTATACATACTGTATTCTGGATCACCCGTCACCTCTCCGGCAATCGTCATGAAATCAGGAAGCGGTGGCTCCTCGGTGTTACCAACTGGCGCTGTTGTATACGTTTCCAGCAACATCAGCGGTTTTTCTCCGCACGATGGTGGCAGCGGTGATGTGTATGTATCCAAATGATAGTACTGCAATTGCTAGATGATAATTTTTGAAAGGAAAGCGAATACTGACTCCTTCCTGATAAAATCGCACCGGCCTGTGGACCAACTAAATTTGCTCATTGTTCTAGCTATGTTTTCCAAAAGATTTCTGCTTCGAACTATCAAACTGAAGCTTCCAGTGACACTCTCTTTTATAATTATACAGATATGGAAAAGCATTTTGTTCAATCCTGTATGTCCAAATAAACTAAGAAGCCCGAACTTTACGAACTAAAATCTGGACCCTACAACGACTTAAGCACCCGGCACTGATCTTCTAATTTCACTGAACCTCGAGCTATTATTGTCTCAGGACCAAGTAGATTCAATTCCATGCTTCAAACACACGTCTGAAGCATCTACGGGATTTGGCCCCTGCGAGCAGAATCGTGCAAATACATACTCCCGTCGATCCTATGCTGTGTACCGCTATGTATTTGTTCCACAAAACATGGAACAAGTAAGTATATTTCTTCGTTATCAGTGATAAAAAAAGCTCCTTCATCTTAAAAATTTTAGAGGGATACATGGAAAATCCTAGCCGGTAAGGTACTCCATCGCGACACTGCGAACGAGAAGCTTATGCTCAATATACGCCAAGAATATCATGCAGCAACTAATCCTTGCCCGGAGATCCTATCGGGAGAATCGTTGAGCTGGTAATCCGTTCGGTAGACGAAACGAAAGTTAGGACCTCTTGCAAGCTGTCGGTCGAGGGATGCAGCACTGCTCAAAGTAACTGAAGCAGTTGAAAACTGCATAGCTGGAGAAGCAAATCATAAATTAACTGCTATTCCACGTAAAAAAACATAACGGTTGTAAGCGCTACATTATATCTAGATGCTAATTTTATAGATTAAATATATCACAACAAATATCAAGCATTGCAGCACCTGTCTTCCAAACATGAAGCATCGTCTTTCTTTGTTTATTGGAACTCTTGAGCGATCTCCCATCTTCTTATAGCTTATGTACTCGCGGTAATTTAACTGCATCCGTGTTTCCACTGGTTCTGGGCCATCATAACGCCGAGTTGTTATTGTGTACGTTGTGCGACCATGTTGACTTCTTGATCGTAAACGAACCTGCAGAAAAATTTTTGCCGGAGCAAACAAATAAAACGCTTTTAGAACAAGTGAAAATGAAAGATTTTGAAAGCAGCGGAAACACTTTTAAATATACAATTTGCTGGTACTATGTCAGTTTTAAAGCAAATCATGAAGTAGCTGCCTACGGTATTACATCATAATTGTATATATTATCAAAAAAACTAATATGCAGCTAAACTGGGCATTACTTACTTGAACGTTTGGATCTTCTGTACACAAGTAGTCATGTCGGACCATGAATGTTTCACAGCGTGGTAGACGCTTTTCGTCATATGAAATAACAAGCCACTTTCGTTTTCTGCAATGATCAGTTACATGACAATAAGGCAGT